GTAACGACCGTTCACTACCAGGTGACAACTGCAAACTGTTAATGCAATAAAATGCGGTAGAAAGAAAAAAAAGAGAAAACAGGTAAAACAAGTTGACAAAAAATAATCTGAAAAAAAGAAGCTGTAAAAGAGAAAAAACGAAAGATTTAGACGATTGCTTTGAACCTAATAGCTTTAATCCGCATTTTTTTTTATTCCCTCTTCCCTCTCTCCCTTTTTGCTTTATAACTAACCCCGTAAATAAAATTGAAAAAAAAAATTAGCGAATAAGAAATAGTAAAAAAAAAAAAAAAATAGGACTGATTTATTGAATTTTAACCACCAACCTTAACCGAGTTACACATTTATTTTTGTTTCTCCGATACGATATTACAGTGCTGCCGTTCAGTTTTATCCTCTCATACTTAACAACTATTGTTTTGAACTGAACACTGCATACTTCAGCCAGTTTTTTTTTGTTCTCTTTGACCCAAAAAAAAAAGCATTTTTTTCACTTTTTTTTAGGTGAAAAAAGCAAAAATTAAGTCACTCAAAAATCACTAATAACAATAACAGGCAATTTTGATTTTTGTTAATTGTGTCACCGTTGTCGTCACCACTGCCAATTTTCATTGTCGTGCGAATAGACAGGTAACCAGTCAGTTAGGCGACCACGAAAGCAGCAACAGCGGTAGGATTATTAGAATGACAACGGTAAGCAAGTCTGAGCTGCAACAGTCAGTATTATCCCACAGTTGTTCCCAATCGAATATCCATGCACCCAGTTTAGCAGTCAGCTGACCCAATAACTGTCGTTTAGATATCCATGCAAAAAAATTATATTTTTTCATCGATCATAATCTGCCTGATCTATATAGAGCCCTAAAAGCAGCTTTACTGTCTTGTTTTTTCTCTTGCAGAAACTTAACCAAAAAAAAAAGGTGGTATCGAACATTGAATAATGTAATCGATGTTTTTCTGCTAGAAATATTCTGGAAAGGAAACCACGTAACATTAACTTTAAGTGTTGTAAAATATTGAATTTTTTAATGCCACACTAGAACTACAGGTTGAAAAAACTAATTTTTTCTTTCTTTGTTATCAAATTTATAGAAATAAACAAGTGATCTTCTATGGTTAGTTAAGTATCGATACATCTAGTAGATTTTAAACGAATCATCTACTCTGAACCTAGCAGATGTCCATTGTTGAAGAGCTCTTTTCACATTATTATTTTTCAGCCCTTTTCTTTATAAATTTTATTTTTTCTTCTTCAACTGCGCACAATTTACAGTTCGGCGATGTTAAAATAAGAACCAATTATTAGTTGTAGAAAAAAAAAAGTAAAATTTTTAGACAGTTTTTCCTAAAACAAGTAACAAAGTGTTTATAACGACCACCTGTACACTGATACATACCTCATTTGCGACCTATTGTTATTGTCACCGTCGTTTACATAGTACTAATAACATACTATTTTTATAATTCTAAACGACCCGTTATAAATATTTGCGAATTGAGGAAAAACTCACTGATCGGATAATCTCTTACTATTAAAAGCATCATTTTATTGGCACTATTATTGTTGAAAAACTAAAGTCTAACTTTTCAAAAATACTGATTTACAAAAAAAAACTGCCCCTACAGTTTCTTTGAAGTATATAAGCCGAACCATTACAAGAACAAAGTAATTGATAAATATAATTCATTTCTTTTCCCCAATAATTTTACTAAATAGACTCTAATAAAACTCCATGAATTATACTACTAAAAATATTACAGGAAAGCTTGCAGCTAAAAGAAAACTGCTATAATCTTTATGCTGATTATAGTTCTTTTAAACTACCAGCAAGTTAAGCACATTTATTCAGTTAAGGTTCTAACAATCTGCAGATAATCGTTCAAAAAATTCTCAATAAAAAATACTATTCGTTTTAATTCGTCAAAGCTTTGGTACAATCTTTTTTATCTGTTCTACCCCTTACAAACATATAAAGTAATCTTTTTTTTTTTTTTAAATTAGCATAACTGATATAAGGTTTATGCTACAACTTCAGCAGTAAACATAGTAGCCTATTCAAGCTGACATTGCTTGACAAAACCAATTATTCTAAAGTTTTTATTACATCATAAATTTTTTTAAAGATTCAAAAACGCTGGCATCAAGCAAGATTTGCCATAATAATGACGTCGTATTAAGGTAACAGATCTGAAAAACTCATCTTCTAGAAAAATTCTAAATAAAAAAAATTTTTGGTACAAAATCGGCGATAAAGAAACCCTGTTGCGTGGTTGTTGAAGTTCAAGATAAACCAGAACAGTAGCTTGCAATCCATTATAAATGAGAATTATGCATCACTCTGCACATTTAAATATAAGACTGATTTATCTGATTAAATTAAGCCGTTAAAGAATGAAACTCTTCATCATAAAATCCTAAGTACAGATTAACGTTTAGAACCCTTTTTAAAAAGCTAATAAAATTATTTAGACTTTCTTCTCCTCGGCTTCAGTCGCTCTTCTCCTGTACATGAGCTTATGACAAAAAAGTATCTGTTTTTACGCTGTATTTCAATGTTCTTAACTTTTTGGAAGACTGACATTTTCAACCAATAAATATTAATTCTATTTTACAGAAAAGAAGAAAATGAGTTAGTGTTGCACAAAGACCAGTATTTTCGCTGCCTGCATTGAAAATCCGAAGTAGAACTAGTAATCTGTAGGTGAAACGACTTAAATATAAAAACAGTATCTCCTAGCAATGAACTATGATTTTCTAGAGTTTGTGCGGCTGGTGTAAATGGTGCAGTCGGTTGGAAGCGGGAGATTGTAGTGGCGCTGCTGGGTTCAACGCCGTGATGATGAATTTGTCTAAAGGGGTGAGTTAGTAGAGCAGTGATCTCCTGTGCATGTATTATCTGAGCGGACAGAAGTACTACCAGTTTTGCCATTTATCAAATTATGAATTAACTATGAGCAGTTATCTCACTGTGTTGCACTAAAAATAAGATCTAATCGAAAAAAATCTGATTGCACCGTCCCGACGCCTAAGTAAAAGCAACAAATATCCGTTAAAACACTCTGCCAAAAACAAAAAAATCCTATCTTAAACAACTTTTAACTTACAAATTTCCAACAGGGCAATGCTCATTTAAACTCCACTGTGTTATACAACGTGGTAATAAAACAAGTAATAAGGAATACAACTGTGATAATAAGACTGTAAAACACCATTACATCGTCAGTGTTGAGTAATTATTGGAAATTCGCTGATAACATATGTTAAAAATAAATGTTTAAATTTAGGTTTGTCACATAAACAGTCAATTAAAAGACCGCTAAAAAGGTTACAGAAATTCAGAGAATGAGAAAAGATACATGTTGCATATTGTGTAACCACAGCTCACCTATACCTTAATTTAAAACAGCTATATTCAATATTAGGAAACTGGAAAATGACATCTACAATATACTCTCGCGTAGCCTGTTAAAACTCCAAAAAAAACTCTGCAGATATAGTGGTAAAATTAGAGGTTGAAAGTTACAACAAAAACAGCACAAGACGACCCGTACCAAACATTCATCTTCCAATTCTAGACATATCGATTCGTTGTAGTATGTAGATGAAACTGAAGTTCCGAAAGAGATCACAACTGTGAGATGTAGCTGCCACCTACAACCTCTTCGCATCTTCAATTCTTACCGTGTCTTATTTATTTCCTGATAACGACAGGACTACAAAAGCCGAGTAGACCTGAATATTTCATTTTATGAGTAACTGTAGGGAATCTACCTGCTATCTACTGTCATTCAATTCACTTGAAATGTTGAAAAAAACATTAATGATCTTACGTAAATAACAGTGTCAAAATTTATACTCATTTTGGACATACCGCTCCATAAGCCGTTTGAATTACAAGTTACCGACATCTTTCCTTGCAGAATAAAACCTATGGAACAAACCAGAGTGGCTGCAGTACCTGGCTTCCTTGGCTAAGAAAAATAGTACTTTTTATAAAGATTTAAAAAAGCAAGGCAATTTCTTTTAGCTCCAGAATTAGCATGCTATACGTTTAAGTAACAAGAAAAAACGTTGCTTTTGTTGGTATACTGACAAGTGGAAAGAAATACTAATATAAAAAATCAACATCATTACGTTTAGAGCGTCATAGATGATATTGCCATTCAACGCATATAAGGGAAAACACTGCAACTGGGAATCTCCTGAGTTGGGCGGCTGGAAGGCTCCTGAGTTAAGCGACTGGCAACTACCAATCGATGGATACCAAGCACCGGTATTCTGACAAAGTGAAACAGCATTATTGTTTATAAGGTACCCAATGTTACATGCTAGTACTGCCATTGTTCCTAGATCAAAAATTTTATTACTAAACTGAATAAGCCTTGGTTTCTCTGTACCGAATTTGGTAAAAACTTTAAAAGTACCTTCTGTTCGTGAACCTTGCGGGTAATAAGTAACAGCTCCATTTGTAACCGTCAATGCCGGACACTGAGAACGCGAGTTTCCAGTTGCTACAGTAGTTGCTGCGGCTGAGCCAAATACGCTGTTACAACTTCCAATTGTTCCAGACCACCTCCCACCACTTTCGCAGTATAGAATTGCGGTTCCAGATCCCAAATAACCGAAATTGCAGAGTAGTGTGGCAAAAGTTCCAATCCCGCGCGGCTTAAACAGATCGTAACTTATTCGGCCTAAAATTATATATAATTCAACAGACAAATTTCTAGTTTTATTTTCTTCAAAAATTTGACAATTCAAATTTGAACCATTAGCGACGGCAGCAAGTTCAGGACATGAATCACCTCCAGTAACACTACCGCTATTGTTACTGGTATTAGTACTGCCGGAATTAGGATAGCTGCCGAGAGAAACACAAGTACCCAGTGTTTCCCAGGTGCCTGAACTTGTACATTTTGAAATAAGGCTGCCAGAAGGATAGAACCCAGTGTTACATACTAGAATCGCTATTGTATCAACCGCGTATTGAGTAGACAATGAACGTTGAACATAGTAGATCTGAAAATGCCGTTGTTAAAACTTTCCGCTTTCTCCGCGTCCCCACTGTTATGAATCATTATGAGTGTTTAAAATCTAAGGAAAAACAGTTAGATTGCTTAGAAAGAGTTACAAAGTTTAACATATGACCTGAGCATTAGCAACTGATGAAAATGGCGAACATGTAGTTGGCCCCCCAGTATTATTGTTCAGTAGAGATTTACAAAAACCGGGAGAAGGAGACCACTGACCGTTACTACAGGTTGCAAAATAATTTCCAGTGATTAAGAAACCAAAATCGCACACCAGAAATGCTGTAGTTCCTTGCTGATACAAGGACGAAGATGATGCCTAGAAATGGTGTTGAATCAGTGAAAAATTTGTTAATACAGGGATAGTCTGCTCTTTTAATTATATGAAATCTTTCAGTGACTGTGTAATTCTGCTAAGGAATAACTTCGCACTGCATAAAAATTTTTGATACAAATCAATTCTGAGAGACACAAATGACAGGGTTTACTTATATTGTAGAGCTGCAGAATAAAAAAAGGAATCTTATTTTGGATGCTTTTTGAAACTGCTGTATACTACAATTACGAACTGAACATAATATTTGATAAGTGGCTTTAAAAGTCTTCAGTTCTGTAACTTTTGTAGTTTACAACTAGTAGCAAATGATTGAAGTGCCAGATATATCATTTTCTTTTGGCACTTTCTTTTTTTAGCACAGACAAATGTAAAAATTAACTTGGACATAAATAACTTTGCCATTGCTCACTGTTATTTCTGTACAAGCCGAATTTCCTGTCCCCGACTGACAGCTTCCTGAAAGCACTTGTATTGTTCAAGACGATCTTTTTTTTTTTTGAAAAAAACCTCAGTGACATTGACCTTCCAGTACTGATGACTTAGAAGTACTTAATAAAAATGGAAAAAACTACCAATAGCTGGAGTCCAAGCACCATTGGATTTGCAGGTGCTTACGGAGTTGCCGACTAAGGTTCGTCCTAATTCACATGTAAGCAATGCAGTCGTACCAGTTAAGTATTCATCTGTTGTGGTTGTTCGCAAATATGTAACAGTTCCACCAGCAATATTAGCAAGTGCTTGACAGTTAGCTAGACAAATAACTTTTTAATATCAACAACTTACAGCTAAAATTTGACTAAAAAATATTCTTTTCTAGCAAAAACAGATATATTTTTATAAAAAGGAATGACGGTTTATCAGTTTACTCATCAAAAAGTTTCAGTGTTTTACCTTCCTTAAAATATTTTATTTGGTTTCCTTCTCTTAGTATTACATTCAGAGCAATGCTCAAATTAGATAAGTGAATGTGCAGCTCGACAATTATAATTTTTGTTTGAAATCCAAAAAACATCTTAGTTTACAGTCATCTAGCTCTAATAAACCAAAAACTAACGTATTGCATTCAAAACTTCAAAACTGGAAGAACAGAAATGAGTATTTCAGACTTTGTATACTTAGTCAATACTCTTTTTTTGTTTTTTCAACTATCGTCAGTTAAAATGACATATCATTATAAATGCAAAATTTACCACCTGTAAAAGTACCGTTTTTATTAACCTTTACCAAAATTTTGATGCAAAAAATTTTACTTTATTGATTTAAGTATTGAAGTAAACTTGTTTAAAAGCTTACCAGCATAAGTTTTGGACGGAAGCAGTGAAAGCGCTGATATACTGAACAACCATAGTGCGCTAATGTTAACCTTAAATTTTTGTAAAAGAAACCAATGATTTATTAGAAAGCTTTACATAAAATTTCAAAGAGGAGAAAATCACATTAAGTCTGAAAAGGTTTGTAAAAACTGATTAAATTAAAAATTTAAAAAAATAAATAAATAAATCGACCAAGAATTACTGGAAGACTACTGGTATACATTTTTTAAGCTGTCATTGCTTTTAACCTCATCTTGGCAAAAAAAAATTCTTTTACAAAATTTAAAAATAAAAAATTTTGCAGACCGTCATCAGAGGAATTAGCAGTCTGTATCCTGATTGACAAAATTGTTATAAGGCAAAAGTGTTATAGATTAACAGTTTTTTTTCGTTCTAAAAACCGTCAGTGGTAGATAAAATATTCCAGTACAGACAATTAAAGTAGACCTAAAAGATCACTGACTTAATCTCAAAGACAAGTGTAATAGTTATAAGCAGTATTAGTTCACACTGTGTTTCAAGATTGAACATCTCTATCGTAATTTGATACGCAAAAAAAGCGCAAATTTAACTAGTAAAAAAGTTTTTTATAAACTTTTATTATAAAAATTTTAAAGGAATACACTATGATATATAAAGTGATAAAACCATTTTTTCTACTTATATATACTAATTCATTTTATTTATTCAATCTCTGATACTTTGCATCTCTGGGAAAAAAGATAGCTGAATAGAAGTTATGCGAAACAATTGTGACAGATTATTGACTTGAACTGTTTTGGTACTTATCTTGTTTAACTCCCCTTCTCCGAAAAACAATTTTTTCCTATTGTTTAATCAAACTTTAAAAAAAGGTTACAAAACTGCACTCAGTATTTGTAATATGAAGTTTCTGAAGACCGATTTACTTTCATGCGGAAGCTGATTCGATAATACTGCACATTTCACATGATCTGTCGTTGTTGTTACTGCTGCTGCTGCTGACAAAATACCTACCCTTTTTTCGCAAAATGTTTTTTCTTTTTTTGTTGCATCATCACATTACTAATCTTTTGAATAAATGAAAATAGATCAATGATCATAAACAAGAGCACCATTACCGAGCCTTAGGTTTGCCTTACTTATCTGATGCTAATGCCCAAAAATAGTTAAGTGCTGACACTTTTTGCGTTCTTTGATCATTGTAGTTGCTATACTATAGGCGCACTGGAAATGCCAAATGTAAAATATTTAACAGTTTTGTATCGTAAACAACAGTCAGTTAATATGCACCAAAAAAAATTTTATAATCCCAATTTGCAACCTTTGTATTATTTTTTCACCTTACATAAATTATGAATGTTTCAATCAACTCGATATTGGATAATGTGTCACAATAAATATCAACAATTGTTTGTAACCGTAATTTTTTATCACTTCTGTTCAGAACAATAACCATGATTATTTATCAAATCTTTTGATCAATTACAGCAATTTGAAAAAAAACCTAGCTTATTTGTGCCAATAAAATCACGAACATTTTTGTTAATACAAATATAGAATCTACAATCTTGAAATCAGCAGTAAAATTACTTGTAAGCCATTGTATGCATAAAAAGTTGATATAACTTTCGATATAACCGTAAACATCATCTTTCTTTTTAGAGCAGAATGCGGAATAGCCATTGAGAAAAGAAGAAGGTAAGCAATAAAAATTTTCCGACTCACAGGCAAAAATGTCAATTTTTTGGAAAGTTTCTCACTTTATTTTGGAAGCAGTTATCTAGTCGCTGAATAAATCCAACGATTATGTCGCAGACAGTTAACATAAGAACGTTTCAAAAACTAATGTTAAAATAGTTTTGAATATTTCTTGATTACAACCTCCGTTATAATTGTCTAAAAAGTCTCAGGAAACTACAGTAAGAGAACAAATCACTGTAAGTTGAATTTAGTAGAAGATCCCATAGTAGAAGATTATCAAGAAATTTTAGAAATGCTACTTTAGCAAATTCGATAATGTAGAATACCGCAGTATGTAGACGATTCAAAATCGCAAATACCGCAGCTGCTATTTTCGTCTTAAAATCTGATGAAAAAAATTTAGAGATTCCCAACAATCAAGTTTAAAGTTGCTGCACAAATATTTTTGATTTTCTGCAAGACAGTTTGTAACACTATTATTTTTCTTTATTGAACGCAGAAAAAACTAAAGATTTCCCAGACAACTATATCAAAATGATTGTAGAGAGCGATCCAACAGTTATTTTACAATTGCTTTGAACCGCCTAACTTCAGTTTAAACCACTCTTTGAAATGTGCCTTTGAGCGGTTCTTAATGTGATCAACCAAACAATTTGTTACCTTTGTCGATCAAGTAAAGGTGGAACAAAAATCATCTGAAGTATAATTCTTCGCAGCTGTCTGATAAGCCAGAGTATTCGAGTATTAACAATTTCAATTAGCAACAGTGCATGCATTAGTAAGGAATCGCCTACTTCAACAAGCATAAAAGCCTGAAGAAACAATTAAAAGATGAAGAACCAGTTCAAACGACCTCTTTTTCGGATAAAATCGTTGCTTCTGTTACGGTTTCATGTGGAACATCAACACCATTCTATGAATGCAAAAAGCACCTGTTCAGAATCTCTTTTTTGTTGGTATTTTCACCTGATAAAATAACCAGAGGCACACTACCCGCTCTAATATGTATTCAAATTTAGCATTGCGCGTGAAACAATGCAGAAATGGAACGTCTGTGACTCGCATAAAACCATAAATTCGCTATCAATTCTCCTAGTATCAAACCAATATTGGCTCTTGACATTAAGATTGAAAAAGAAAGCAGCATTAAACGTCTGTTAAAAAAGCGAACTCTGCAGTGTAAAAACATGTCAAAATTTTCAAATATTCAAATTTTAGCATAACTGAGGACATTCGACCATTTCACATCCGTCGTATAAACCAGTTGCCTACTTCCTCTGCTGTTGGTAGTTGTTCTTATGTTTGCCAGCCTGTTTTCTTACGAATGTAACTCAAACCTTTTGTTAAAATAAAATTGTTACCAAATACCACTAGTCACTTCGATAAAAGACTAAATTATTAAGTTTTAGTTACAGCCGGTATAAATACTGAAGCTTCTTCCAATGCTATGTCACCAATCAGTGATCCATACCCACCACACATATGTTAGGCATGCGCTATTCTTCCTTCAGTTTTAACAGCTTTATTTTTCATAAAAGTGTAAAACGGTCACGTAAGATGCCGCACAAATGACAGACAGTTCCATTTTGAAAATTTATTGCTAAAATCGGTAAAATAATTGTGCCAACTTGAAAATTACTCAACAAAATCACTATAAAAGCGCTGAGTCATTTCCGGTAAATTCTGTGTACAGTACATCAAACCGAAATAAGCAGAATTATGTGTACAACGACAAATAAACGAACCCGTCAGTTATTATTAACTCTACACCACTATTTTTCTTTTCACAGTCATAACCCTGATAATGTACTTCTGAATGGACATATGCAGTCACAATATTCAGAAATAACGGATAAAAACCACACTTTTGCAATGAAAACAAACAAATACAGTGTCATACAAAATGCCCCTTTCTCAACACAGAATCCTCAATCAAGCCGTTAAAAGCTCTCTTACGATGTACCCTCCGGTCACGACACCGCTCAGATAATGTGGGTAATTCAGATTAAATCACAAACCGCAATCATTGAGAGAGTTCAATGGCACATCATCACGGCACCGAACCACTACTCAGCATCCTCTGCCCCACCCGACAACCCACTGCACCATCTCACCACTGCCGCCACCCTCCTAACAATTGCTGTCCACCAAATGAATACAGCTGTACGTCAATTGCTCCGCAACTCTGTTCACGCACAGACCTGTCCCGCTCTCCAGCTATAGAACCGCGAAACCTTGTTACCTTTGATTTCATGCCTTTTCCAATCTCCTTTTCCTCCTCGAAGCCAAATTTGATTGCCGAATCTGTTTGAAATTTTATCTAACGTATTCTATCACTGACCTCATTTAAACGTCAATAAACCCAAAAGGCAGTCTAGTAAAGCTAGTTAATACACACTTCTACACGTGTTATATATTAGCAAAATGAAAATAAACTGTTTTTCTGACATAACTCTTCGCTAACACTTCACTGTAACAAAAAATGAAATAAAACATAAACTGATGCCGCAGTAAACAGGTAGAAGGAAATATTATTTCACTAGAGAAAAATAAAAGATAAAAAATAAAAAATCAAGAAGAAACTACGTGGACTTAGGAAAAATGATAACACTTGTTTATCAAAGCAGCAATAACAAGATGAAACCCTTGTAAATCATGATGTAAATGACAACGAAAGAGAAAAGTGGAAAAAAGTAGTAAGTAAATCTGAAATTGTGCAATCGATATTTTAATCTAGAAATCTAAACAACAACAAGTGAGTCAAAGAAAAAGCATCCATCATACAAGGAACATTCTGAAAGTGCTTGATTTGAAAAGCTCATTCTGTTAAAAAAAGAATCAAAAAGCAAAAAAGTAAAACATACGGAAACTTGACACTGAAGAATAGTAACCTCTCAACTGTGCAAGAAGTCTTATCAAAATAGTACAAAAAAATTTGCAATGACCCTCTAAACAGCACTTCCGCACATAACACTGTTTATAAACTTAAGAAACAACAACAAGAACACACCCAACT